GGTAAATAATTAGTTAAAAATTTGTTGTAAGATTATCATATCTTGGGTTTGCTATATGTAATTTTTTTAGATTGATATGTTTGTTTATCGTTAATTTTCAAGTATTTTTAAAAATCATGTATAAAAACTTCATTTCCTCTTATGGTGTTCAAACTAAATTACAATATAAAAGCATAAGAACAACATCTTAGAAAATTAATAAAAAAATTACAATATAGAATAAATTAACAACACTTCAATTTAAGGTAGTTTTAAATCATAATTGGCGTTATAGCTTTGTGAACAACTCGCAGAAGCCCCAATATTAATTTTCGTCTCCATAGTAGGAATTCTCGTGTGACTTGCTCCATTGTTGGACGCCCTTTCAGAAGAATTGCTTCTTGTGTGTCCTGCTTAACCGCATGTAGAACACTTTTTTATTATTGGACCCTCGCCTTGGGATGGAATGTGTTATGTGTTTCTTGTCCTACTTGACTGACTTTTATCCATTATAGGTGGCCTAATAGTCATCAAACCATCGAGGATCTCTAATTCGGATGGCTTTGGAAAAGGGTTTACTGATTCCTCATATGTTTTCCTCACTTTTTCGGTATGATAAGCTTTTAATGCATACATCGAGCAGTCTTGGTAATTGTTAACTGTTAGCACTCTTATGACATGACCACAAGATATGTCTTAAAATTGATAATGCTTACATGGGCATGTCATTTGTTGGAAATCAACAATGACGTTTTGTCTCCCCTTTTTGACCTTGTATTTATTTCTTGAGATCATACGAACATCCCAATTACTAAAAGTATTTTTATTTATACAATATCATCGGGGTAAGGGTGAGTGTTGTTGCTTCCACTAAAAAATAGAGAAAATTACATAGGTAAGATCCATAACATCTAACACAAACATTAATATTACAACTTACTACCTGCAAAGTTACGTCTTTGAGACCACAACTGTTGCATTGTTGCACGAAAAAAGTCAATCAACATCAGTATCGACATCTTACGTGCATGTCTAGATAATGCATTTATAGACTCTGCACTATTGGATGACATAAGATTGTACCAGTTGCCTCTAAAATGTGCCTTAGACCAAGTTTCGGGATTTATACTTTGTAAGTATTCCTATACTAGTTCTTTTGTCTTTTTCATAATGTCCATGGCAGCATTAAAATAATCAACTGTAAAGGCTCTACAAGCCTCCCAAAAATTTATTTAACTGTCTTACTCTTCTCGTATCTAGCTACTATGTTGAAACACAAATGGACACCACATATTACGTAATGAGTGTGAGGAAAAATTTTGGCAACAGATGGAGCTATAGATGGAGCCCTATAAGATATAATTGTAAGATCCTCCATTTGCCTATGCAAACATGTAGTTTTTGAAAAACCATGTCCAGGGATCTATACACTCATTTTTGCATATACCATATGCAATTGGTAACAGTTGGTTTTGTCCGTCCTTAGTAACTGCAAGTAACATGATACCTTTAAACTCGCCCTTTAAGTAGGCTCCATCTACTACAATGGTTGACTTACAACAATCGACAAAGAGCGTACCTACAATACATTGTATATCTATTCAAATATACTGATTATAGTTAAGTACACCAAAATAAAAATAAAAATAAAAATATATAGTAATACTAATTGAGAAACCAAGTGGAAATACAATAATTCAAACTGCTCATCATCATTTATTTGACTATCTGTCACTGTGTCAGGATTATGTTTAACCAAATTGTGGAAATAAGCCGGAAGTTTGGTAAAAGAATAATTTTTTGTACCCCTTAACAACAACAATGCATATTACTTTGCACGCCACGCCTGATGGTATGAGATATTGATTTTCATTTGAGCATTCATATCATTAATAATATCTTGTTCCAAATATACTCTATTATAATCTTCAGCCAAAACATCAACAAGACATTCACCCAAAACGTGTTTGTTTGCTGGTCGATGATTAGGTTACAACATTGTTGAAGAACATATGTATACATCAACAAGTTTATTCACTTGGAAAAGTCTGCCAAAAATTTTAATTCCTTTTGCTCTTAATAACAAAGAACAATTTTTTTTCAACACACACAACCTCATACCTTGATTTGCTCAATTTACTTGTCTTCGTCTGAAAACCTTATTGAAGACATTTTTCCCAATCGCCCGTTTTAGAAGGTCTTTGTTCTTAAATATACAGAGATATTCAATCTTTTGGTTGACGTATACCATATATGATGGGATATCTTCATTGACATCAACTGGACATGTTGGTAGAGGGGACATATCGTGAAAAAGGTTATCAGGAAACTTAACTTTACCGTCATCACCCAACTCATCTTCATCTGAATTGCTTTCTAAGTCGGTTATATCTAAAGCTACATCAGTCGCATCAACAAAATCCTGTAACCATGTACATTTTCATCTTTCTAAATCATAACCTTTTTCTTTTTACAATTATCTACTCCACCAATATTCATAACTTTAACTTCTTGTTGGGGAATGTCAACATGACAACCACCAACGTCATTAAGATGTGTACCAACATCATCATCACCAATGTACTTGTAATTTTCAAGATCCACATAGTCAATAGGTGAATACCTCACATTAACAATTTCAGCAACACTATGAAACTGAGGTACACTAGGAGTCCTGAAAGTATCAATTGGATTGTTGCTCCCTTTGTCGTTGCATAAGTTAGCAACCGACTCATTTCCACTCCCGCCACCCTCCGTAACCGCATCACCTTCATCAACCACCAAAAATACTTTCACAGCCCTTCCTCCAACCAATATGATTACGTTGATCAACATTCTAACATCCATGTCTTTAACTATGAATATATAACTATTCAATTCATGATGATGGAAACGAAGACTAATTTTATATCTGTCTAACAAACCGGTTTTCATTTTCACCAAAGATATAAAATCACTACAACTAGTATACTCGGAAAATACCAAAGCGAATTTAAAAATACCTCCCTATGGACATACGTATTCAAGATTTGTTTCCACGACTTCCCACCTTTCACCAGTTACAACACAAATTAAATATTCATTCATTTTATTAGAGAGGTTTTAAACAAATTTTCCAAAGAAATAATAACCAAAGTGATACTTTTTTTGCAAAACTTTATATATAATATAGTTGTTTTTATAATTAAACCCTATCAATTTCGTAATCTAAATAAATAAATAAATATATATATATATATATATATATATATATATATATATATATATTATATATATATATATATATATATATATATATAATACATAAATTAAAATGCTCAAAATCGTAGATGAATTTAGTTCATCTGCAATTTTAGTGTGAGGGTGAATGTATTTATACGGAAAAGAAAGCCATAGCAAACGTACAACTCCTAAAGCGTATCCGTGCTTTAGCGATTTGTACATTCGCAGATGGTATGGAGAAATCGCAGATGTACTTAATTTATGTACGATTTTGATGACTATTTTTGTAATTTGGGTTTTTTTTTGGTTATTTTCTACAAATTAATTTAACCAAAATGACAAATTCTGTAATTTTCTCTTATTATATTACTATAAGAAGATATATGTGTGTGTGAATGGAAGAAGAGAGTTACCACTTAAAATCCTATAAATAGGTTTCTTTCTTTCATTTGTAAATACAGAAATGCACAACTACGAGAATATATTCACAAAAAAGAAACCATGTTGTATTTTGTTAAATCTTATTTTTGGCAGCTAAAATATGAGTAATAAGTTACAGTGAATAATCAAATTACAAGTGCACTTTAACATTGTATGATTGTAATTTCTTTGGTGTTAAAACTCTCTCTCTCTCTCCTTTGCCGTAGATGTAAGTCAAATTAGACCGAGCTACGTTAAATTCCGTGTTTCGATTTTTTATAGTTTTTTTTTTTTTGCAATTTTTCAGTAGCTTTATTTCGCATGTGTTGCCGAAATCATTTATCGTTTTATTTTAAATGCTTAATTTGTTTTATCGCATTCTCAACACTCTTGTTGAATGAACCATTTGTGTTTCCAAAAATCTTGAAATCTCATATTCAAATAAATTTTTGAAAACCATGATCAATAGTAGACTAAAGACCACCAAATTAAAATTATAAAGAACGAGGATTAGATATTAAAATATGTTAGGATATTTGTCGATTGTTTAAAACTAGATATATATATGTCAGGACAATTCTATTTTATTTGGAGTAAATTACATGAATAATCCTTATGATTTGAGGTAATTTGCACGTTCAATCCATAACTTATTTTTTATTTCGGAAGGACTTTAAAATTTGTTTTTGTTGCATATATGGTCGTGTTTTACCTAAAAATATTATTTTACTCTTGATTTTTTTTAATTTGTTTAAATAAAAGAGGTAGATAAGATAAAGTAACGTAAGATGTAAGTGAAGTTGGAATGTATTTATTTAAATAAATTAGAAAAATCAATTACAAAATAATCGTTTTTAGATAAAACAAGATATTGTTGATTTAGAAAAAACTTTGTTTTAATAAAAGATATAATAACCATTTTTAATTAGTAGGTGTTGATTTAGAAAAAACTTTGTTTTAATAAAAGATATAATAACCATTTTTAATTAGTAGGTGGCGTGAGATTATTATTATTATTTATTTATTTATTTATTGCAGATTTTGTCAACGAACTTGCAAAAAATCCGTGGATGGGGATAGTCTAAAGTCACATTTATACACGTAGAAAATAGTAGCATCATATGTCATATTAAAGTTAATAATCAACAACCCCATCCCCCCTACTTTCCTCCGATCAATCAATCAATGTTGTTTTCACCGATTTTTGAAATTAATAACAACATCATTCAAACACTATGTTCGTTATAAGCTCAAATTTTGGCTTTTAGTTTGTAATTCGCCAATAAAAACACAAAAGCGACTCACTTCTCCAAACTCAACCACACTTACTTCTTCCCTCTTCACACAAGTCCCAATCCATTTCAAACACCTCAAAAACGATGACCCACATCAAAGATTTCCTCGCCGGAATCTTGAACTCCGGTAAGAACATTAACTTAACCAACAAAAGAAAAAAGATCTTCTTAACTGCTTTTGCATCAATCCTACTACTCTCCGCTCTAATAGGCATTGTGGTCGGAGTCAAATCTCGAAACTCCACCACAGAAACCATCACAGTTTCAGCCGCTCACGCCGTCGTAAGATCATCATGCAGCGCCACGTTGTACCCAGACCTATGCTATTCCGTCATCAGCAGCCACCCAGGTATGCACAAAAATATCAAAAAACAAAAGGATGTGATCGAGCTTGCTGTTAATATAACAACTAATGCCGTCGAACATAACTACTTCCATATAAAGAAGCTCACCACTCGCAAAGGTCGGTCGCAGCGCCAGATCGCCGCCCTTCACGACTGCCTGGAGATGGTATCGGAGACATTGGACGAGCTCCACGATGTCATGAAGGACCTCGAAGAGTATCAAACCAAGAGATCGCTCAGACAGCATGCCGACGACCTCAAGACGCTAATGAGTTCCACCTTAACCAACCAGGAAACGTGTCTCGACGGCTTCTCCCACGACACGGCGGACAAGAACCTCCGGAGATCTCTGAAAAAAAGCAATGACTGGGTGGAGAAAATGTGCAGCAATGCATTGGCCATGATTTGTAACATGACGAGTATAGATTTGGCGAATGAGAGGAAGCTTAACGGGAGGAACTTGAAGGAGGAGGTGAATAATGTATGGCCGGAGTGGTTTTCAGCTGGGGACAGGAGGTTGTTGCAGTCAGAGACGGCGGTGACGCCAGACGTTGTGGTTGCTGCGGATGGTAGTGGAGACTATGACACGGTGGCTGCTGCGGTGGAAGCAGCGCCGAAGAAGAGCAAGACAAGGTACGTGATTAGGATTAAATCCGGGGTATATCGGGAAAATGTGGAGGTGGCGAAAAGCAAAACTAACATAATGTTTATGGGAGATGGAAGAAACGATACCATCATCACCGGAAACCTGAGCGTGAAAGGAGGAACCACCACCTTCAAGTCCGCCACCGTCGGTTTGTCTTCTTATCTCTTTTTTCTAAATAAACAAAAAAAATTATTTTGTACTTTTAAATTTATTAATTTTTTACCATTTTTTTTTTTGCATTAAGAAAATAATATTATAAACTGGCTCTCGTGTTTTCGATATAACCGTATGCATATTCTGTCTTTATTGGTAGATAAATGTGCCCATACAGTCTGTCGTACATTCAATTTATTTTGAAAATGGACAAAAGTCTAATCACTAATATATAAGAAAATAATTTAATATAAGGATCTGTTTTTTGCTTAATATGTATTTGTGAATGATTTTTTTTTTAATAAAAAACATTCTTCTTAGTTAAGGTAATCCAACTGTCTTTGTATTTTTAACTATGATCTCAATATTATATCTAGATATTTATTAGGGTAAATTATAAATTTGGTCAAAACGCTTTATATAATATTGTAAATTCAGTTCAATATTTAAAAACGTCTCAATGTTGTGAATGTGGTGTTTTTTTTTTTCAAAATTAATTACAAGTTTAGTTCAAAGTATAAAGTTATTCTATATGAGGTAGGGACGTCCTTATCAAAAATTCAAAATGCAACATAAAGGCAACATCTAAATTCAAAAGTTAACCATGTTCCACTGTCTATCATAATGGCAAACACAAAAGCGAAGATTTTCGATATATCATTCATGTGACTATGAAAAAGAGTGGCCCACTTTTCTTTTTACAAAACAAATATAAATCCATACATCATGATCGATGATTGATGATTAAAATAAAAGAGAAAATCATAACAATATCTAAAATGGGGACGTTTCAACAAAAAAAATGATTTTTTTTATACTCTATATATAAATAATTTATTTTGTAATGAGACCATTTTGACGCAAAAGTTCTTTTTGAATGCTTTATCACTAAAAAAACCTGACTAAAGTTTATGCATTTCGTAATGATAGAAATACTAGTAACTTTTTTTGTGAAAATAATATTTTCTTTTTGTTGTGAACAGTCGTTTTGCAATCAGATTCATTGTAAAATTGATTTTTTTTTTTTTGAAAAAACAAGCCAAAAAGTTTGTTCATTTTATGACTTTCTGATTTTCTAAAAGTGTTGGTCTTTGATTTCGATTAAATTGAAACTTTATACATAATTAGTCCTTCAATTATACATGTTATACTATAAATAACATACGTACACATCCATTATGTTATCATCGGTGTATATATTTACACAACATTATTTGCAAAATAATTTATTGTGGTGTTGATGCATCATGCAGCTATCGTAGGTGATGGGTTCTTGGCTCGAGACATAACATTTGAAAACACCGCCGGAGCTGAAAACCACCAAGCGGTTGCTCTCCGTGTGGGCTCAGATTTCTCCGCTTTTTATCAATGCGACATTTTGGGACACCAAGACACTCTTTACATCCACCGTAATCGTCAATTCTACATCAACTGCTTGATCGCCGGCACCATTGATTTCATCTTCGGCAACGCAGCGGCGGTGTTCCAAGACTGCGACATCCATGCACGCCTCCCTGGACCCGGTCAAAAGAACATGCTCACAGCCCATAGTCGAACCGACCCTAACCAAAACACCGGGATTGTGATTCAAAAGTGCAGGATCGGAGCCACTTCTGATCTCCAACCGGTGATAGGGGATTTTCCGACGTATCTAGGGCGGCCGTGGAAAGAGTTTGCAAGGACGGTGGTGATGCAGTCGGTGGTTAGCGGTGTGATTCATGAAGCTGGATGGCATGAGTGGAATGGGGACTTTGCATTGAACACGTTGTATTATGGTGAGTACGAGAACACAGGTGAAGGGTCGGAGACTTCTGGTAGAGTAAAATGGGAAGGTGTCAAGGTGATTACGAATGCTTCGGAGGCTGAAGTGTTTGCCCCAGAAAACTTCATTGCAGGCCATAGCTGGTTAAGCTCTACTAGCTTCCCTTATTCCTTGGGTTTATAAACTGTGGTCTAAGGAAATCTAATTTATTATTTAATAATCGAGTAGTTTGATCGTAAACGAAGCAACTATTAATTGTTTGGGTGTGACGTGATACGTAATCTACATAAAAGATTGAGAGAGAAATAGTGATATATATTGATTTTATTATATTGATTAAATGAATACAAGACCTTGTCTGCTTATACATCTTGTGTTAACTTGTTTTACAAGACCTTGTCTGTTTATACATCTTGTGTTAACTTGTTTTAGATAAGCATAAGGATAAGGAGACTAAGTACATTTATAATGCATTAAATTTATTAGATTTTAATGGATTGATATATCATCATTTTACTTACTATATAAATCTACATTACTTTTTCTACAATGCATTGAACTCAACAGAGTTCAATGAAATATATATTTAATAGTTAATAGGTATTCTTTTTTCCATTGAAGAGTTCAATGGCCATTGAACTTCATATCCATTAAATGCCAACATGACATCACATAATTGTAGAGTTTAATTCATTGAATGTCAATTGGGCATGTCACCTCATTCAACTCTCTCATTGAACTATGCATTGTAGATGCTCTAACTCGTTAACCATAAGGAAACGAACTTTAGCTAACACACCTAACAACTTCGGATGACAAGGCAAGACTAATTATACGCTATCATGCCTCATGAAGCAAATCTCCGGTGTGGATGTGAACTTTGGATCGCAAATGCTGAAATCGAGACGTATAAAGTCCATTTCTTAGTATATCAACAAGCTTCGATGTATTCGCGGCATTACGAAACCATATCATGGATGAAATGAACGTTGATCTCGACATGTTTAGTGCATTAGTGAGTAACATGATTAATTATCAAATACGTTGCACTCATATTATCACACTGTAGAGTTTGTGGATTTGTGACCGGAAGACGAAGCTCATTCATAAGTGAAGTCAATCATTGTATCTTTATGGATGTAGAAGCAAGTTCATGATGTTCGACCGTTGTACTAGATCTAGTAACAATATTTTGCTTTTTCGAACTTCAACTCATGAAGTTACTTCCAAGTTATATGCAATAACTAGTAGTAGATTGTCGTTCATTAAGACAACCAACACGATCGATATCGAACTATTCATGTAGAATAAAGTATGAGGACTTATGAATAAGAAGACCATGAGTAGCAGTTCCCTTCAAATATGATTTTACGACTTCTATTGTCGATCGCTTAGGTGTAAGAGAACTGAGAAACCTTGCTCACTGCATATGCAATTTTGGGACGAGTAAGTATGATATATTGCAGTGCTCTAATGGTATTGCAATATAATGTTGGATCGCAAGTGGTATCCCAAAAAACCTGGACAATTGTTTGTTAGGAGAAACTAGAGTGGATAACGGTTTATGAGTAGTAATACCAAATGGTGCTAATAAATCAATCAGGTTTATGTTGTGCAAAATACAATTTGCCAGTATGGGAAGTAGTCTACTAGCCTAAATGCCAAAGAAATATCACCCAATATCTTTTAAGGAAAACTAAGAATGTAATGTCTAAATGAGATCAATGGTGAAGGATGCTAAGCTACCTATAATCAATATATCGTCAACATAGACAAGAACATAATATTTAGTAGACTCTATACAATAATAAATAAATAAATAATGAACTATCTTATATGCACAGGCAAAATCTAAAATGTAATAAAGCAGAAGAAAGCCTGACAAACCAAGAACATGTAGCCTACTTAAGACCGTAATGGCCTTCTTAAGGAGACAAATATGTTGAGCACATATAGGATCAATAAAGCCAGATCGTTTGTGTTGGATTAAAGTGTTTAAGCTCAAAACTAAGTTGGTATACATTTGTAATTAAAAACAAAGTCCTTTTGAGGTTGCCCTTATAACCATAAATAGCTAGGAATGACATTTACAGAGAGAGGGAGAGAGAGAGAGAGAGAGAGAGTCAGAGAGAGAAATTATTTGTAAATATATTATATGATATATTATATGATTAATATGTTAATTAGAAATAGGTAGTTGATTTGTCAATTTATTATGTGATTAATAAATTACTATGCGGTCAATAGTTAAGTAGTTGATTTGTTACTTTATGTGATTAATAAATTAATAAGAAATCAATGAGAATTAATTTAGAATTAATTAGATTTAATTTGAATTAATTTCTAGATTAATTTGAATTAATTAATGGTGTCAGGGATGAATTGTAATTATTCAATAGTTGAACAAAGGAAGCAATTCTAGAACCATCCATTATATGGACGGTTTTAGAGGGATTCCTAAGGTTTCGGGAAGTCTCCTAGTTGCATATAAGGAAATGATTTGAATTAGGAATTAAATCTATTATTTAATCAGTTCAAATCTGGCTTTATCTGCAAGTTACCTAAACTATAAATAGGACTCATTGGCTTGCAAATTTTCATACATAACCTTTCTATGAAGCTTATGAATGAAATTCCTTCTTCTTCCTCCTTTCCCACTTCATTCTAGGGTTTCTAGGGTTTTAGGTGTGAGTCATTAGAGACATCATACTTTTGGTGCTTGCTTTCTAAATATCAAGAGGGATTCAAGGAATTGTTTGCTATAACAATTCAAGGTATGTAATCTAACCCTAATTAGTTAATTCAATTATACCTAGGGTTCATTAAAGTTTCATAATATGTTGCTATTACTTGTTAAGATGATGAGAATAAAAGTATTTAAGATCAATAGATTCAAACAAATATCAATAATAATTAATAGAAAACGATGAACACCACAATGAATCAAACGAGTGTCGAATGATTAATATGCTCCACCTCAGAAGAATTCAATGAGAATTGCTACTGTAGAGGTGTACTAGGGTTACAATATTTGATCTGGAAAATAATTATCAAAAGCATGTTTAACATAGTGCATGCATGCACTATATAATACTAAACTCTAAAACAAAACACGGTTGGACAGGCCCAAACCGAGTATACAAAATGGACCTAAGTACTAAGCCCAATTACGCAACCTCTAAGACTCAACAATCTACCCCTTTGCGTTAATTGGGGCGAGATATCAAGTTGGTTGAGCGAGGGTGGATTTCTTCACTGTCTTGAATATCTTCGGTATAATGGCAAGAAGAGTTTGGCGAAACGTGATGTACCACCAAAGCATATCTGTGAAGTTCTTCTTAGCACTTTCACTGTTCTGTTTGCACTTGTGTATAATATATATTATATGCTCCAAACAAGAAGTGGAGAATAGGTGCTTATCGTCAAGAGCGGACACAAATTTCTGACCTTCGCCCCGAGATAACATGACGATATGATATTTTGAATCAATTTTGTCTAGTCACATTCTGTTCACATCACCAGTCTTCCCAATCGGTTTGACAGTGGGCTTCTTCCTCAAAACGTTTGTAATCTCCTGATCCATCTTCGCAACTTCATGAATTTAAGAAGATAACATTCTCTTCATATGGTCAATTATGGGCTCATACTGTTGTTAATCAGAGAGCAATATGTTGTTGAGAAGAATCTAATCATGTGGGTTCAAGTTCGGTAGATAAGCCAATGAGATCATATGGACCGAACTGTCTGATCCTCGGGTGACTTTGAATTTGACATTGATAAACACACCCGTAGGAGTCGGTTTGAGTACCTTAACTGATGTGATCTTTTGATCGCTCCACGTCATGTACTGTGGTTGAGAGAATTCAAGGTAGTGATTCAGAAGATCTCGATTAACCTTCAGATCCGAAGAAGGAATGTTAACAATCGAACTGAAACAGTGAAATACAAAGGCTTTTCGGGTGATAAGCATGTCAAATTGAGAATCCTTTGTATTATCACAGTTAAAAGAAGCGACTGGTTCAAGCCAGTGAGAACTAAGGGACTCAATCGCTTCCTTGATCAGTTTCTCTAGTGACCATGGTGGAAAGAGAGCTTGTCGGGTGACCAAGACGTCATGAGCATCTCTTTCTCTCTTATCCCTTTCTTCTTCTTCCCTAGCAATCCTGAGATTTTCATCAATCTCCCTATCATGATTTTTCCTTCTCAGTGTGTAACGATCCAAAAATCACGACTAAAAATTTCTTTTAGAACATTACTAAAACCATATTTATAAAATTGTATCATAAGTCATAACATAATTTTCGAGTATTAATTCAAAACATAATCTCATTATCAGAGTAAAACATTCCCAGGCTAACTGACTATGGTGTGTGCACTGCAACCTCTCCGAGCTCCTCTTTTGAAAAATGAGTACCTGAAACCAAAACTAAAAACCGTAAGCACGAAGCTTAGTGAGCATCCAAACTACCATATACCATACAATAACATATAAAACACATACTGGGCCTTGCCCACTACATCGGACCGAGGTTCGGACTAACTGGGGCCTGGCCCCCTGCATCAGACCGAAGTCCGGAAACTAACTGGGACCTTGTCCCCTGGACCGAAGTCCGAACTATCTAGGGCCTTGCCCCCTGCATCGGACCGAAGTTCGGAAACTGACTGGGACCTTGTCCCCTGCATCGGACCAAAGTCGGGACTAACTGGGGCCTTGCCCCCTGTATCGGACTGAAGTCCGAAAACTGACTGAACAAAGCATAACATAAACATATCAACTAGCATGAACACATAAACTGCATACTGCATTGGGCCGTAGCCCGGAACACATAACACATAAATCCTGTCTGAGCCAGGAAGGCATCAAACATACTAACTACTACATCGGACCGAAGTCCGGAAACTACTACTAGCTAAACGGACCGGAATTGTGGCCTTAGACCCGTTCCTACTGGAAGGAAACTCACCTGGTACTGCTGAACTTCCTGATAACCCTCTGGCTGCTAACTGACAACCTTCTGAGCCGCTGCTCCTCTAGCTCTCTAATCTACCAATATAAAAATGATACTTAGTCTAATAGTCCTTCAAAAGTCAACTATGGTCAAAAGTCAAAATCCTGGTCACAGTCAACCTTCCAGGTTGACCCTACTCGTCGAGTCAGCCTACTGACTCGCCGAGTTCATAAGCTCTGAAATCCCTTTCATTTGTGAATCGACTCGCCGAGTCTACTGATTTCCGAGTCCCGACCTATCCACTCACTAGGTCCCCACTCAACTCACTGATCCAAGTCTTAACTCGAAGGGTTTGGGGTTTCGCGACTTGACTCGTCAAGTCCAAGGCAATCTTCAACAGACTCGCCAAGTTTTTCATCC